AGGATAACGATGGCATTTCTCAGCTGCTACGTAATGTAGAGACCGGATGTCTTAGTGAAAGATAGCTGAGAAAGCTAGAGAAAATGAGATAAGATGGCAAAACACCATTGTATAAGAATTGTCCGATGAGCAAATTGGAAGCCGACATCGTGCTGTTAGAGTTCAAATCGACAAACGAAATGAGCGATAAAGGCTTCGATCAGTTGTTAGGTATAATAAGGAAAATGCTCCTAGAAAAAAATGAGTTGCCAGAAAAGACATACTTGGCCAAGCAAATGATCTGCCCCATCAACCTGGAGGTTGAAAAAAATCCACACGTGTTCCAATGATTGCATATTGTACCGTGAAAAAAAATACAAAGACTTAGACAAGTGCCCCCAAGTGTGAAGCTCCACGGTACAAGGAAGGGCCATCAAATGAGGGTATCAAGACCAGAGGAGGTCCTATAAAGGTCGTTTGATATTTTCCTATAGCTCCTCGGGTGCATAGGCTGTTTGTATGTGCAAAGTCAGCCAAGCTGTTGCGCTGGCATGGCGAAGAATGTAAGAAAGATACAATGATGAGGTACCCCGCCAATGGGCATGACTGAAGGAGTGTTAATACTACATTCTATAACGACATCGGTGAAGAGGTAAAACACCTTTGGTTTGTTTTGAGCACAGATAGGATGAATCCTTTCGACTAGGTTAGAAGCAATCATAGCACTTGACCAGTGACGCTCTGTATATACAACCTTCAACCTTGGGTCTGTATGAAGCGGTCGTACATCTAGATGCCACTACTGATCCAAGGGCCAACACAACCTGGGAATAACATCGATGTGTTTCTAGAACCAGTGATCGATGAACTAGTGGAGATGTTTGAAAATGGTGTGCTCGATGTTTGGGATGAGTACGAAAAGGAACAAGTCACGATCAAGGGAGTACTTATCGCTACAATCACCGACCTGCCAGGTCGAGGTTCATTGTTTGGAGAGAAGACAAAAGGCTATATTGGATGTGTCGAGTGCTTGGACGACACCGATGCGGTAAATCTGCCAAATAACTCAAAGATAGTTATATGGGACACCGTAGGTTCCTACCTAAGGATCACCCTTACCGCAGTAACAGAAAATATTTCAACGGTACTATTGAGAAACGCTTAGCTCCAAAATATCGAGACAGGCCTGCGATACTTCGAGAACTCAACAAACTAGAGGTTGTCCTTGGGAAGAGGGGACAATGCAGTAGTAGCGCCTGATGGGAGCTTTTGGAATAAAAAATTAGTTTTTGAAAACTACCTTACTGGCTATTTCTGAGTGTACGCGTCTTGATCCCATGCACATCACTAAAAATATGTGCGCTAACACGCTTAACACCTTGATGGACACCGGGGGGACATCGAAGGATTCACTAGCCATACGCCTGGATATGCAACACTTGTGAATCAGGAAGGAGCTGCATCCCGTGGAGTTAGAGAATGGCCAGCTCAAACTTCTGGTTGCGTCATGGACATTGAAGAAGGAAGAAAAGCATGCGCTTATTTCTTTCTTTAATAAACTCAAAGTCCTTATGGGCTACTGTGCGAACCCGAAAAGGCTAGTGAATATGAGAGAACTCAAGTTCAACTATGGCCCTATGAAGGCCCATGACTATCGTGTCATTATGACTCAGTTGCTCCCTGTTGCCCTGCGTGGTATCCTCCCTCCGAAGGTCCGCGCCCCAATCACAACCGGCGGGAAACAATGAATGCGAGTTTTATGTAATGTGGGCAATGCTTCGCTACATCGGTGGAAAATCGGAAGAAGCAGATAAATTAGTGTGTATAATCCTCATTTTATTTTTGTCTGTTAATAATTCAATAAAATGATTTACTGATTCCTCTTAGGATATCATCTTTTTTAAACAACAGCGCAAGAAATATAACCACGAAAGGCTGTTAGACATGGAGATCGTTACACTGCAATCGAAGCTGGCAAAATTCATCTTAGCTGAAGTATTGAAAAAAGATGGAGTATTTTCCATTGCACAATCCATGAAGTTCAAGGACCAGTATGGCCCAGAGCGGCTCGCTAAATTACTGTAAGAAGTCCGAGAAGCATGCTTCATCTTGTCGAATAATTTCCTTTTTATTTTGAGGGATCGAGATCTTGATAAGAATATTTAAACTGTAACCGTAACATTTATAATGTTTAATATTGATGAACCTATCGTCTACGTAGTCTATATAAAACGAAACCCGATTCCAAAAAATATATAAATTAAAATAAACTATAAAACAATAAAATGCGAATGGACCATCACTGTCGGTTGGCCAAGATGGCACTGTCGGCTTACGCCATAAACCGACAACGTTGGCTTAGACATCATTGCCGGGTCTTGTCCTATACCGGTAGTGCTGGTTACGACAACACTGCCGGCTAAACACACAAACCGACAGTGATGTTCAAGGTTACACTGCCGGGTGATCTCATGAACCGGTAGTGTTGATGGAACTGAACTCTACCGGGTTGTGTAAAGGACCGGCAGTGTAGTTACACTGTCGGTTTGTAGGAACCGACAGTGATAGCTAACCCTCATCACTGTCGGTTTGATTGTGCCGGTTCAAAATCCGACAGTGATGAGATGTTTTGAACCGACGGTATTGTCTTAATCTGGGGTAGTGCCCGTCAGGTGTCAGCCATTAGCGATAAACATTCCAACTAATGAGTTCTGAAGCATATATATGAAATGGAAATACATGCACGTATGCGTCATTTTTCGCTCAACACTCATATTCGATATGTACTTCGTCTCGTATAAGACAATTTTCACTAGATAGATATTAATTTGTGTTGATTTCCAAAAGAAATACTACCTTGTTTAATGGTTCTCAGTTCAATGAACAAATGATGTATGTACGTGGTATGGTAACCATCAAAGTTTTAGGTTCTGAAAGAAACATGAGACCAGTATACATGTCAATGGGCTAATGAGAGTGTACAAGCAACTCATGCAAAGGGAATCTTTCTTCTAAAGATCCAACGAATCATGGGTTCTGTAAAGGTTACGACATGTCACCAATTGGATGTGAGAATAGATGGGGCTCATTAGCTTTTAAATTTAATTCACCAGCTCGTCAGATCAATTCTAAAGAGATCTAGAAAGCAAAAAGGTGGTTAGACTTTTGACGGCTCTCAATTTGAGTATTATTTTTGCTAAAAGCTAAAAAGCATGAAAAAATGTAGCAAAGAGGTTGGAGGCTATATACAAGTCAGCTACCGAGTTTGGATTGAGTTAATTAGGCCTTCACATGTTTTGTTTTTCAAAAAACAAAAAGTTTGTTTATTTAAGTAACGATGTACCAGAGGGTATAGTAAAAGCAACTCTTAATGGTTTTCCAAGGAAAAGAACACCTAGTGTGCAATGATGCATATCACATCAATTTGTAAGAGATGACAACAAATGTGCCATATGTACTTATATCCTGGGCGCGCTAGCCAGTATATAGCAACAATAATGCCCTCACATGGATGCACTCATACGTTCCAAACCTTTGGCTACGACTTTTGTACTTCACTTGGTGGTTGTGTTCCTTGCGTCAATGATGTGAGGAGTACAATAATGTACATAAACCGCTATTATGGGATCTTGCTTTGTTTCTAACAAACCAAAGTGGTGGTGGACAAATCCTATCTAGGGGCAAGATTTTCATACTTCAATTATCTAGCTCCTCATGTAAGGAAGCAAAACAAGGGCCCTCTCCATCAAACAACCTCATCTCCAGTTTCGATTAATTCTTGAATTAATATTAAAGGGGCTTTGCAGTATAAAGCTATTTCTACTTGCTTGTACCACTAGTACAGAAAAACAATTGTATTGACGGCATTTTTTTGAATTTTCACTGACGGTTTTATTATGAACCGTAAGTGTGAAATAATGTAATAGATTGGCAGTTGGCCTAAGGCTATCACTAGTGTAAATCGATTTACATTGACGGTATGCTTACACAAACCGCCTGTGTAAATGGTTTTAGGTCTCCCATGTTGCTTCCTTAACATTACGCCTCATATTCAATTGTGACTAAGTGGCTGATATATTCCTTTTTAAATTCACTATAGTGAATATTGCAATTCATATTTTAGACACTAAACGAAATCACATGAAAAAGTTTGAACCAAAAAGTTTTAGATCTTCTCAAGTACTACAACTTTGATTTAGGTCATTTTTCTATCCGTGGTCATTTGAAAAAATAAAAAAAAATATTTATTTCAAAATCATTAATATTAAAACAGAATGAAAAAGTAGTAAACTACAAAGTTATAGATATTTTGAAGTACTACAACTTTGGTTTATATTATTTCTCCATCTGAGGTCATTTGATTTTTTTTTTTTAAATGATTTCAAATTATTCGTACCGGTGGCAGTTTAAGAAAACCAATATAAACATATCTATACTGACAGTTTTTTTAGGCCACCACCAGTATAAATCCAAGATTTACACTGGCGGTCTTAAGCCAACCGCCAGTATAAATCTAATTTAAGTTGATGGTTGTCTTCAGCCTACTGCCAGTATAAATAGAGGATTTGTGCTGGCGATGATCTTAGAAAATTCACCAGTAAAAATATATCTACATTGGCATGTCATAGCCATGGGCACATAGTTCTTTGTATTGGCATCTGTTCTTTATAAACTGCTAGTGGAAAAATCCCTGGCGTCGACTAAAACTATTTTTGTCTAGTGTACTTGGGACATGCATGCATCTTGTGAGACATACCACTGTTATTGTGAATGATGTGGTGTTTGCCTGGCGCAATGCATCTCTCCACGGTATCAATTTAATTCTCCTAATATATTTCCTTCCTTCTTTTTTTTTTGAAAGGAGTTTTACTCGGCTTTTAAGAAAGCCAATAAGGATTCGATACATACTGGGTTAACCAGTTCACCCGAAATAGCAAACACCTCCAGCTAAACCTTGCTAGAGAAACTACCAAAGAAGAGAAAACTAAGCAACATAAACTCCCAACACCGGATCATTCACATTACATGACAAAGATATCTGAACTGGGGCCATCAAACGCTTCCTTGTTCTTCATCCACTCACTCAGGCTCTTTGCCATCTGATCCAGCTTGGTCTTGTCGCACTCCTTCTGAAGATCTACCCACATCTGCATATAATGGATAGCCGCATAAATCACAGCATCAGGGTTAGATGGATAATTCTTTTCAATTGCCATTTTGTTCCTATTCTTCCAAATTGACCACGCCATCCCTGCAAAGAAGACAAAATTCAATTTTCGGGAAATACCATGCCTCCTTGGCAGCCAATGAAGTAACATATCCTGAATAGAAGTTGGGAACCCCTGCCAACCAAAAACATCCCTCACACAGCACCAAATGTATTGAGAAAACACACACTGAAAGAGAATGTGATTGACAGTTTCAGGCTTGCCGCAAACACAACAGATGGGGCTGCCTTCCCAACCCCTTTTCTTAAGAGCAGTAGCGGTTTGGAGCTTATTGACAAAAACTTGCCACAAAAAAATCTTAGCTTTCAGAGGTATTTTACTTTTCCAAATGAAATCATTAAGTTTATCTTTCACACCTTCATCAGTCAAGCACATATACAAGGATCTAGTGGTGAAGGTGTGAGATTTATCAATAGCCCATTTTACTTGATCTTCACCTAACTCATCTAACTGGACAGAGCTAAGCAGCTCTTGTAACTCTTCCCATTCCAGAATCAAATTCCCATACAGAGATCTCCTGAGAGGGATATCCCACTTCCCCAGTCCACATATCACAGACTAGAGCATTTTGTTTATGGCAAATGGCATAGATGTTGTTAAACTGAATCCTGAGAGGCATATTCCCCAGCCAAGAGTCATGCAAAAATCTAATCCTATCTCCCTTATGGACATTATACTCCGCCCCCACTGAAAAAGATGTTTAACTTTATGGAGACCTTTCCAGAATTGAGACGAGCCATAACTTTTAGAGTTAAAGAAGCCTTTTTTCCTCATATATTTAGCCTGAAGAATTTTATACCAAAGTTCATTTGAGCCTTTCTCTATTTTCCAAATCCATTTAGTTATCAAGCATTGATTCTTCATCAAAGAAGTGTTTAGGATGCCTAGACCACCATGGACCTTAGGCTTGCTAATAGAAATCCACTTAGCCATATGATATTTGAAGGAATTGTCAGCACCTTGCCAGAAAAAATTAGATCTAATGGAGTCTAACTTTGAATGCCCCCCTTTAGGTAACAAGTAAAACCCCATCACATACATTGGTAGATTACTAAGACATGTATTTGTAAGCATTAACTTCCCTCCTGAAGTCATAAATTTCCCTTTCCAAGGGTCCAATCTTTTTAGCGTTTTCTCAGCCAGTCCCTGAAAAGCAGGAATACCCAAAAATCTATCTGAAACAGCAATCCCTAAGTACTTTATTGGTAGAGCACCCAGTCTGCAATTAAGCATATTAGCCTTCCTCTCTTTCTCCTCTTGACTGAAACCAAACAAGATAACTTCACTCTTGTGATAGTTGATTTTAAGGCCTAATAACCACTCAAAACAATACAGCAATATCTTGAGACTTGTGATTGATTTGTCAGAGCCATCAGTCATGAGAATGGTGTCATCTGCATATTGTATATGTGAGATCCTTTTCTCAATCAAAGAACCTAAGACACCCACAACGAGCTCCCTATCCACAGCCTTTTCCATCAACATGCTTAGTGAATCAGCAACCAAATCGAATAATAGGGGGGAAAGAGGATCACCCTGCCTCCGGCCCCCTGGTTCCATTAACATTGATGCCGGCCTGGCCACCCTTGACTGTCTGCATCACCCAATTAACCCACAGGGTAGGAAACCCTTTTCCTATTAGCACTTTTTCCAAGAAATCCCATCTGACCCTGTCATATGCCTTCTCAAAGTCAATCTTGAGAATCATGCCTTGCTCTTTCCTTTTATTCAACTCATGAATCACTTCATGTAGGATTACTACTCCCTCCAGAATGTTTCTGCCTTTGTTGAACCCTGTCTGGTTTTCTCCAATAACCTCCTTGGCTATTGGAGTGAGTCTCTCTGTCAAAACTTTAGTAAAACCTTTATAGTCCACATTCAGCAAGCAAATAGGCCTATACTGTTTAATAGTATTAGCTTCTTGTACTTTGGGCACTAGTATTATAACACCATAGTTAAGCCTTCTAATATCCAACTGTCCCCTGTGAAAATCATCAAACATGGCACAATATCTGGATTTGATTAAGTCCCAAAAGTTGTGAAAGAAACTAGGACCAAATCCATTTGGCCCCGGTGCTGAGTCCTTCTTCATGTCCATCATGACCTGTCTAATTTCCTCTTCAGAAAAAGGTTTCACCAAGTTTTCAATCTGGTTCTCACTGACTTTTCGACAATTATCCCAAAAATTATCTGACAAAAAGATAATTCTTTGGTCCACTGGACCAAAAAGGGCCTTGTAGAATTGAACAGCATGATCCATGATCTCTTGTTGCTCTGTAATCATCCCATGATCAGTTTCAAGTTGAATAATAGTACTTTTCCTTCTCCTACCATTGGCAAATTGATGAAAAAATCTTGTATTGGAGTCCCCCAACATCAAACACTGTTTACCAGCCCTCTGTCTCCAAAAGATCTCCTCCTCCATATAGAGATTTTCCAGTTGTCTTTCTATTTCATATCTATGACTCTATTCCATAGGAGATAACTCTCTCTGTTCAGCAGCTTCATCAATCTGCTGTAGCTCCCCCTTGAGTACAGCCTTCTCTCTTTTCTAGTCACCCACTCATCTGATGTTCCAACCCTTCAACTTAGTCCTTAGCAAAACAGAGCAACCATGCCAGCAATCCAAAGAATACCCTAGTTCAGGACATCTAGCTTCAGCAGCCACCCAAGTGTCAGAGACTAACTTCTTGAACTCGTCTCTCATAAGCCACTGTTGATCAAAAAAGAAGTATCGGTGTCTCAAAGGCAAGCTTTCCCCATTATCGACTATGACAGGAGCATGGTCTGAGCCCACTCCAGTAAGACACCAAGAAATAGAGAGAGGGAATTTTCCTCCCAACCCATGAAGAAAAAAACTCTGTCCAAATTCACTATAATTGGTTTCTCCTGTTTATTAGTGTAGGTATACTTTTGCCCAGACCTCTTCAACTCCCTTAGCTGGTAGTCACCAATGAAGCCATTAAACCTGTCCATCAAGTTATGATTATAGTTATATGAGTTCTTGTCAGAGATCTCCCTGATCAAATTGAAATCACCCCCCAAGATGATGGGCAACACAGCTTTCTCACATACCTGTCCTAATTCCCTCAGAAAGTCCCCAGATCTGTCATGGTGAGCTGGACCATATACAGTCACTATTAACCATCGGAAGTTAGAAACTCTATCCCTTACAGACATGGAGATGCAGAAATCCAAGACCTCAAAGTCTTCCAACTCTAATTTACTAAGGTTAACTCCTATAAGCAAGCCTCCAGATTTTCCTTTAGCTGGGGACCACTTCCAGGTGAAGTCTCTACCCCCAACCAAATCCAATAACTCCTTATCTGCGAAGCTCTCTTTAATAGTTTCCTAGATCCCCAATATATCCAACTTATGTTCTTCTACAAACTCTAAAATTTGTCTTCTCCTGCTCCCTTTTCCAAGACCCCTTGCATTCCAAAAGAGGAACCTCATGTTGACTTCTTTTTTGGTCTTCCCCTCCTTGGGGGGACAATTGTCTGAACAGTCGTATTCGAATCCTCAGTCTCCCTGACTGAGTTATCAATAATGCTTAGGTTGTATTCTTGCAACTCCTCCTCACCTTGAGGAGCAGTTTTCTTATTGATTTTCTCTAGATATTCCCTATAATTAGCCTCAGCTAAGGCCGCTCTTACTAACTCCTCATCTCTAAAGGTTTCTAATTGGGCATCAATATTTGTAATATTTAAGTCAAGTTTAGAAACAACATCTTGTATATAGTCATTATCTAAATTGCTCAAAATAAGAAATTGGTTGGAGGATTGTGTACCTAAGTTTAAGTCATCTCTTTCCTGGGCCCTTTGTGTTGCCTTCTCCATCGCAGATCTCCCATCCTTGGGAACTCTATTACTGGTTCTTGTGGCAATCATCACTCCCCCCTTCCTTTCCTAAGATTCTTTTCCTCTGTGATTTGATCCACGGCTGCTGATGCTCATCATCAGACTTGTCCCCTAGACTTTGAAATGAAGCAGATTCCATAAGCTCTAACTCTTGTGTGAGCACCTCTTCTTCATTTCCAGAGTCCAGGAGAGAAACCACTGTCCCATCTTTTGGCTTTCTCTTATCCTCAGCTTCACTATTAAGGTTCAGGTTAGAATCATCTTGACTCTGATCAATGACCATTTCTGTACCTTCTAACATCTCCTCATTAGATTTTTGTGAGTCAATATTCTGAGGCAGCTGCAGATTTGGCCATTTATCTCTATCCATGAGATAAGGGCCTGAAGCTCCATGAATCACAATCTGTCCAGCAGGTATCTTATCCTGGTTGAATAGCAAACTCTCCTTTTCCTCTCCAGCTACTAGTTTTCTTTGATTATCTCTCCTTTGTTCCTCAGTGTTTGCTCCCTCAAGCAGAAATTGACTAGTAGCATCCCATATCTTATCAGAACCTATCTCACTCTTTTCCAAGCTACCAGAAATCTGCACTAGGCCTGCTTTTGGATGATAAACTGCTAGTGGCAGAAACTTTTGAGCACTCTATGAACTCTCATCTTGAGGAGCTGCAATGGTATCATCAGGAGCATCCTGACCCTCTCCATGACCGGACTCCCTATCAAGTCTACCCATACTATTGAATTTATCATTCTTCTTTCCACCACTAGGATCATCAGGCCTCCACTTATCTCTCTTACCTTGGCCATCTTCATTTCTCCCTGGACCAAGAGGACCCCCTTTAGGCCCTGGGCCTTTACCAACTGCATCCTCCACAGTGAACCTAATCTCATGCCCCACCTTGTTGAAGAAAACTTCTATGTCACACCTTATAGCTGAGGGATTTCTGCAATTAATCTTGACTCTTACTGGCTCATCCCTGATTAAACTGAGTTCATCCACAATTATGTGCATATGGGCATTACAATAAATTTAAACAATGGTTGGTTGATTTCACTAGTAGAAATCTGCACATACATGACGAACAGCTTTTAGTCACACCTGTAAGCTCATTTATTCCTACTAGTGATTTTAGTTTAGAAAGTTGTAACAATATAATCTCAATCGAGTCACACCTGTAAACTCATTTATTCCAAGTCATTTACCCTTTTTTCTTAGTCATTTACCTATCAGCATGCCTCCATGTATTCCTTCGGTTGGAAGGTGTGATATTTTTTATTAACATTTTGGAGTTTCTAGATCAAAATTTGTATGTTCAACTTTAATATAATTTAGGGTATCTATTACAATGAGCACACCATATGATTTATGTTTCTCACATAATATTTTTTTGGGCAGGAGAATCAATGTAATATGTTGGATCTAAATTACTCCCTCTATTTCAAAAAATAAGACATATAGGCATTCAACAAAGTCAAACTTCATGAACTTGAGCAACAATTATTCAAAGGATAATTCTTTTTAACTTTCAACTTGCATGGTACTCTGATTTTCAACCTGAATTACGAAACCAGGTACCAAAAGTCCTCCAACTGTTGACCAAACAATTTGGTCCTTTGGCTAGTTTCAAAGGTAGTTTCCTATATTCTAAATATAATAAAAACCACCTTTCAAACTAGCTAGATGAACAAATTTGCTCGGTTTCAACATTTGGAGGGCGTTCAGTACCCAGTTTCATAGTTCGTGGTTAAAAATTGAACTTCCGTGTGCAAGTTGGAGGTTGTAAAATAGAGAAAAGTTATATCAATATATTAAAAATTTGAACATATTTTTATTACAAATTAATTTTGTAGAAGTTGATGAACATAAGAGTAGTTGATGTTATACACTTTTAAAAACTTTTCCATATCCTAATAAGCCTTGTAAAATCAAACGGAAGGAGTAGTTTAATAATGGCTACTTACTAGTCATCTCTGTCTCTGGAAATTCTTAGAGATTAATTATATTGAATGTTAGTTTTGTAGTTTGTAGACTAAATTAAAGCGGTTCAAATATTTATATTTAATCTATACACAGTAAACAAGATGAATGTAGATTCAAGATTTCCTGAAGCTACAAATACCCAGCTCCAAGAAATCTATAGATTTCCTAGGGCTAGAACTCCGCCAAACATGACCATTTGGTTATTAGTTTGCACTAAACACATATATCTATACCACTTTATTTTATCATATAAACTCCAAATCCTGCATGGATTCTAGAGTTGGAGCTATATCAGATAATTCTATTGTTTGTTTTCATATATAATTAGTAACTATATAGAATGCCAAATTCTAGGCGAACCCATAAGTTATCTTCTTCATCGTGCTATAATTGAACTTGCAGGTATATTACCAGGTGATAAAGCACCATTTGCGGTGATAATATATAAATTTTAGTTTTTTGTGCTCCCAAGCATTAATTTACGACTTTGACCAGCTACGAGGAGCGTCGACGCCTATTTGGGTTTTGTGGTAGTGGTCCCAAATTTCATGTCCTTGTGTATATATATATGTGCTCTAGATGAGATATATCGTTAAGAGAGAGACACTACACCACAAATAAAATTTTGTGTTGTAGTTGGGATGTGTGTGTGTGTGTGTGTGAGAGAGAGAGAGAGAGAGAGAGAGAGTTTCTATATTGATTTGTCATGGCAAACAGGCACATCCACTTTCCTGCCTCCACTCTCTCCATTCTTCTGTGCTGTAATTGCACCTGTGTAACGACCTCTGCCTCTGATTGCATTGAGCAGCACCGACAGTGACTGTTCCTCCAACTGCATGCATGCAGGCACATGCTGAGCGATGGATGCATCAGTGTCATGTATAATCATGTTCTCTCGGTCTCAGGCACAGTACTAGTGCACCTTTCCGGCCGGCCCCGGCCCCCAGGATCTATATTCACAAGCTCATCAACGTGACTTCATGTGCAAGGGAAGCAGTTGGTACATGAAAGGAAAGCAAAGAGGAAGCAAAGGAACAAACACAAACTAAAAGAGATATAGCTTTACCACCAAGGAAAAATATGGATAAGGCTGAAGCATGCTGCATTATATATGTAGCTACAACATTATTTTATATAATCTGCAACCCTTATTGTATGTACAATATATGCTCACATATATGAAAGATTAAAAATTATGTGAGATGAGAGGTGATGGCTTCCACATAGCTAGTATAGCTCAGGATTTGATTGAATTATTTGCATGGCATGAATGCCTGTGTACAAGAGGATGAATAATCCAAGATATGTGTGGGACCAAAAAGTGAGGTGAAGTAGCTGTGAGAAGAGAAAATCTTTTACATTCGAATAGCAATGTCAAGGATGATGTAAAAATACTAATCTTAACGTATAAGTATGTATATATGTATAGTTCTAAATATGCGTGTATGTACTACTCCTTCCATTGGCAGCCAGCTGGAGTTGCAGCATGGGTGATGCATGGACCCTCCCAATCATTCAACTTGGAAATCAAGGAAAGGCAAGGATGACACATCTTTCATCAGCTCCTCCAGGTCCCACTCCCCATGCATGACATTCCTGCTCATGTACTGTTGGTGGGCCCCCTCCCAGAAGACTGCATCCACATTGCTGCCGGTGTTCACTTGGCTGATGGTGTTGATGTTGTTGTCTGTGATGTTGCTCTCATTGTTACTCAGTGTCGTGGTAGTAGTCTCAGTAGTGTTGTTGCTGCTGTTGTTTCTAGGGTTGTTACCACTTGATGCCATTAGGGCCTGGCCTTGCTCTGCTTGCTCTTGTGCCGCTGACATGGGCTCTAGCAGAGGGGGCACTACACCAAACATGCCTTCTCCACGCATGAAGCATCCTCCTCCTTCCATTGCCATCATCCCATGGTGGTGAGGAGGAGTGCTGCCGTAGTAACCACCGTGCAATGCGGAAACTTGGTGCTTGAACGCCGGCGCCGCGTGGCCATGAAAGAACCCTCCCGGTGACGACGCATCGGCCACAACACCACGGAGCTGGTCAGGGAAGGGGACGAGGCCTCCATAGCTCCTGCTGACCGCCACCGCCGCTGCCATGGTCGTCGGGGGTGGCTGCTTCTGATGCATTGACGAGGTCGACGAGGTACAAGAGGAGGATGAGTCCACCATCCACAGACCCGTCGTCGTCATTGCGTGGTGGTGGCCACCGTCCTGATCTAGGCCGGCGAGGTCCGGGCAGCTACCGGCGGAGACCTTGTTATTAGTCTCCGGCGACGCGCAGTCGGTAGCCGCTGGCGACGAAGCTGCTGCCGAGCTGTTCTTGAGCCGCTTCTTGATGGTGGAGTTCCAGAAGTTCTTGATCTCGTTGTCGGTGCGCCCCGGCAACCGGGCAGCGATCTGAGACCACCTGGAATGTCGTAACGGAGAGTTGATTTCACGTAAGCAAACGATCGATCCAGATGTTTCTGTCAGAGAAAAAGTCATGCGTACGTCCATTTTTTATTGCACATAAATATGTGTACGTGTCAACATCACGCGCAGCTATATGTTTTGATATGCATGCATGGGGACATGGCTAGGTCGAAAGAAAATATCTCGAGGTCAAAGAAATTAACTGATGTCTCAATCTCCTTTAAGAAAAATTAATGTGAATCCAACAAAAATTGCATGATGCTCAGTAAAGGAAGTAGGGCAATATCTCTTTCGGTGTCCTTTTGAGCGACTTTTTAAGCCTCTAGGTTTATCAGCCTTGGAAATTTATTAATTTCATGGGAAATACCATCAAACACCCCCCAATAAAATAAAAAAGAATACATGCAAATATGAAATACATTGTAAAATGTTCTACTGCATCTACACATGCACTATTAATTGCAAAATGTTAGTTAGGTCACCGATATATTACTAGCTAGGTTTTAGGTAAATATGCTAATGATGTGAAGTATTGGATCTATCTACGTAAAACATACATTTATCAACTAGGTAGAACAGAAACCAAATAGATAATTTCTCCTTAACCTAATCTTACACCTTACAATCAGTAATTTTTTGTTCCATATATTATATTCTTTTAGCCCTTTATCTCTACTTGGGGGAATTTGTCTACAGTTTTTTTCTTTAAAAATCATTGACATTAAGAAAAAGAAAAAACCATCACACTGAATTGCGACTAATTGAACTTCCTATACATAAGTCACAACATATATATGTCACTCATTGTAAGGCTGACACCGAGGTGACAAGGCCCGTATTTTGGCCAGACACATTATAATGTATAATAATTATACTTATAAAGCTATGAAATTTTTCTGGTAAAGTTATTACCGGCGTGCAATGTAACTACAGGCTCGTGGCGATTTCCTTTACTATGCAGGTGTGCAATATATAACTCATTGCAACTATATATGTAGGAAATCCCCTAGAATTTGGAATTCTCTTGGAATATGGAAGGCTAAATGTGTGCAATGCAACTATGTAGGAGATCTCTAATTCAAAATAGCAAATAAGTGTTTCGATAAACAAACAAAGTAAGTTTTTAAAATCAATGCGAAATAATAAAAATTGTTTGCCAAGCGACATATATATATATATATATATATATATATATATATATATAATCATCAAACGCCCATAAATTAACTCTCTAGATCGAGAGCCTTAATCACCATACTGCACGCGTGTGCACGCGTATATATGTACCTGTTTCCGAGGATGGCGTGGAGGCTGACGATGAGCTCCTCCTCCTGCGGCGAGAAGGCGCCGCGCTTGAGGTCCGGCCGGAGGTAGTTGATCCACCGGAGGCGGCAGCTCTTGCCGCACCGCTGCAGCCCGGCGTTCCGGGCCACGTCGCTCCAGGAACCCTGTCCACTCCGCAGCATGTACGCCACCAGCCTCTCGTCCTCCTCCGGCGACCACAGCCCCTTGCGCAGCTTCGCGGTCGCCCCGGCATTGCCGCTGTTCGCCGCTGGGCACTCCGGTTTCCTCATTGCCTTGCTATAGCTGGGTACGTACATGTTAGTTACCCAGCTGGTT